TGCATTTTTGCTATTTAGAGTTTGGAAAACCAGAAAGTATAATTGATAATGTGAAACTAAAAACTGCAGAAGTCTGATATCAACAGCGATAAAATAAATTTTTATTAGATCAATGAATCAATAGTATGACTGTTACAGATTAACTTAATCCCTCAATAATTCAAAAATAATAGTGAATTGGAAATGCTCTCTTTCAATATTAAAAGCAATTTAAAAACCCCGACAACTACATACAAAAAGTTATTCACGTAAGCAATAAAGCGCAAAAAGAAAACTGAAACAAAAAAACCGAAGGAAATGAAATTTATTCTCAAAGTTTGCTTATCGAATCGAGGCACAATAAAGTAAAATAAACAGTATTAGCTAAAGCTAACAAACTGATTACCATAGTATTTCAGGCAAAATTTAATCTTCTGTATTTCTCAATAACACTAAGCCAATAAATATTCTACAAAAGCAGAAGCACGCAAAAAAACAAACAAACTTTGTTCAAAATTTCTTCAAACAAGTACTGATATTCATCATTTGCCGAAGAAAAGCGACCAAAAAAATCTGGAAAGCTGCTATTTCAACAAACCAAAAACAAACCTTCCCTTCAAATAGCCATTCATTCGGTGGAACAAAAAATGAAAAATATGAAAAAAACTGCAATGCACAAATGGCTTATGACTATAATAGCTTCAATTCAACATAAAAACTTCTTTTTTCCGATAAATGCACTTTTTTTGGATGCTCAAAGATCATTCGGTCGAATTTTAATTCAACAATGAATTTGAATTCAATTTCAACAGCAAAAGATTGCAACTTTTTGACTGCAAAGTTTGCGTTTTAGATGCAAAGTCATATTAACTAAAAATGCTTGCTATTACTTCAACATTCAAAAGAAAACATATTTAAATTTAGCAACATTTCATGCAAAATTTAAAAAACTTTTACTTTGCAAATAATGCCGAAGACTTATTGTTTGAATAATACTTAATAGTCAATGCAGTTATTTTAAGTTCTCATGTGATAACTGTAATGAGTACCAATCAAGTTTCTCAATACTTTATTGGTTCCATATCATTTTGCACCACTAATAAATGTCATAAGATGTTGCTATAACATTTGACTCTTCTATAAATTTGATACTAATTGCAAATTATTTTCGATGGAAATAACAGCAGTTAATGTGAGGATATTTATGAATATGCAAATGTTAATCATTAAGCAATTTTGCCTAGGACTCAGAAAAAAGAAAGCAAAAAAAGTAAAATAAGGCTCAAGGCTGAAATTATTACATAGCTTGCAATTTCTGAGAATACTATGATAATAACTTACTATAAAAAAATCAAATGACGGCTCAGTGATTCCAAAAGACTAAAATCGCTGAACACAGTATTTGACTGTAAAATTGAGCATTCAAAAGTTATCAGCTGCGTGATTAGTTGAAATTCTAATATAACTTTCACTTTCTTGAGTCATGAAATAGTAATTTAAAAGCGTTGATGATTTTGGGTTTGACTCTAAAAATTTCTGCTTGAAATCCAAGGACTGGCCGCAGCCGGTCTTAAAGCCAATTTCATTAATATGTGAAGAAATTTGGCGGGTGCCCATTGCTTCTTCAGCTTCCTCTTAAGCTGGAAACTGCACAAAATTAAATTCTTTAATCTTTGATTCATCAAAGCAAACTTTTATTCCACAAAGAGCTAAAAAGTAGTGCAAAAGTAATTTCAAATAAAGAAGTTATACATTTATATCACACCTTGAATTAAACATTAACTGGGATCTTTTTGCTTCTGAAATGACTTAAATGATTGCGCGGTAAAAGCAAAAAGCAGTGAAATGCGGGCAAGAAGTAGTGCAAATAAAAGCAGATATGGAGGCGAAAAATTTGGAGTCAAGGCTTGATAGGCAATCGTTGCAGAAAAAACTTTTAAATTAAATTTGTTAACGATAAAAATACAAAAATTCCGTCTTCAAAGTTCAACTTGTGCATCTGAAACTTAGTTTCCTCGCTCTCGAAAGTTTATATTTTATTAAAGGACATAACCATCGAGTAAGAATTTCGCTTCCACATTATGATAAAAAACATTCTTCATCAGTATGGCAAACTTTTTCCGGCAAGATATTTACGCCAAAAATCATTTTATAAATATATTACAAGTGTAACGGGTTAGTAGTCATTTAGAACAAAATAATTCGCAAATATATTAATGATATTAGTGTAGAGAGTGCGCACCTAATAAAGTATACAGTACAGATAGCTCAGTATATGTTAAACTATAACATTTGAAAAAATTTTGAGACGCATTCATAAATTTCAAATTTGGACATCTATTTAGACTTACTTGCTTCCTCTGCACTCTCTTAAAAATGCGTGGTGTTTCTACTCTGATTTCATGATACGAGATAAATATGGGGATGGTGAAATCATTATATGGACAGTGTAATAAGCGCGAACCAGCGTTATGTTTGATTTTGATACCTAAAAGCATGTTCCAGGTTTTGATTTCGGAAATATACTCTATACTTGCGTTAAATATGACTCAAGTATATTGAGTTATAGTTTCAAAAAAATGTGTTGAAAGATACTGTGATGAAAAGTGTAGGATAGTGAAGTGTGTGTGGAGAGTGCGCTTCTGCTGTAGAAACAGAGCGTCAAGTCAGCTTGATAAATGTTAATTTTGACACTTGAAAGATTGGCAAAAAGTTGCAAGTTTGCAAATTATCAACTAGTCAAATGTAGAAGAGACGGATCTCGAGCGTGTCTTAAGTGTACTGAGTTACAGTATCGACAAAATGTATGGAAAAATATTATATTAAAGTCATTGCAGGAACCAGCTGTAGTGTATGACTCACTAATTCACCGTTTAGTATGCGTATTTTGTAACTGGAAAAAGTGCGCCATAATCACATGTATATTATATAAAAGGTGATGGAGCTAAGCTCTGCTACAAGTTAATTGAGTTGTAATATCGAAAATTGCGCATAAAATCATTGTGACGAATTAAGTGTGCGAACGCGTTACAGTGCTTAAATCACAAGTCCGTCAGATGTACTCATTTTCGAAATTGGATAAAATGTGTCAATATTTCATATGTAAAAAGTGTGATAGACTGTTAGTTTTTTACAAGTGAATATTTATGGATCGAATAAAATGTGTTGGTATTAATTACACTATACTGATTGTTAGGGGAATATTATACAGTATGAGGCGCCAATTCTCAGGGTTATAATGAATGTGATTGTTTGAGACGTTCCTTTTCATCGACAATTAATTTTGAAGCAGTTTGTTTCTTACGAGACATACAAGCATCTGTTGTACCCACCTCCAAAATTTCACTAAAATTTGCCCTAACCACCCAGATATTTACTAATTTGTGCTCAGACTTCCCAGATATAACTTTTATTATAAAAAAGAATATAACTTTGACATATTTTTTAAGACACACTATTTGTATAAGTTCAAAACAAAGCTTTCAGTATGCTCAAGCATAAAACATTTTGTTGTTAGCATGTCCTTACAAGGGCTTGTTTTCAATCATTCAAACTTTGAAGAATGTCATCTGAAACTTGCAGGTACACCAGAAAGAGCAGTTCTTATCACTCAGTGCTGTTATAAAAAGCAACGATCACAGACTATGAACCAAATTTATTACCCACACATTTTTGTACTCTCTGCAAACGTTACAAATGGAAATGTTCTTGAGCTTGTCTTCTGAATCATACAGCACATCCATGACACTTTCCAGATGCACACTTGTTTAAACGTAACAGTGTTAACCATTGAACTTGCAGGTCTTTTCTTTAAAAATATTTCATGCTATAATCATATGCAACATTTTCCTATTTTCAATAGTAAGATACCTATTTCATACGTCTCTATATTTTCAAATACGGCAGAAATGCTTTATTATATTGATATTCAAAATATTCTGTCATATAGCATTTTTTCAATACTTGAAGTTTAGTGATTCAAAAATCTACAGCTTACAAAGGAATGAGTAGCATGATCCCATCGTAAGATCGTTAGCTGTAAAACTGTGTGCCAAGAATTTCCAGCTTTCGCTCTGAATTTTAAGAGTGCTTTGAATAAGATAAACAGTTTTTTGAATGCTCATATTTTAGTAAATTTATTTCCAGACTGGTGAAATAGCACGAACACCAGTGATTCCTTCGGCCAAAGTTCGATCTCAAGCAGGACTTTATACCAGTTAGAACAAAAGGAAACAAAAACTTTCCGCAGTTTTTTCAGCCTGAACTGACTGCCTTTAAAAATTAATCTTAAGATGCAATGATTTCCAAGATTATAATTAATCATACGATTACAAATTTCACATCATTTAAAACTCTCCATATATAAGTTATTCATTTACAGACTGCAAGAATGAACTCGATGTATACCCTATAAGAGGCGAATCTATGACAAAGATGGATCATTCTTCGGTACTTAATACAAATCGAGCATGGAACATGAGGATCGCATGCAAATGCAAGTGCACTGCCATGTGACGTTAGTGGTGGTTCATGTTTGTCCTGGATCTTATAAATCTGAGCATTCATTATGACTATATCTCTTTCTGAACTGTTTATAATAAATGTTTTATCGACTAGTTTTCAAAATTAAACATTAACTTTACAATTTCTTTGATCCTTAACGTTATTTAATTCAGTTGAGATGCCCGTGAGAGAAGAAAAAAATTAATACCCTTCGATAAACAAATCAATTTGAAAGGGACATCTACTTTTTTCTCAGTTTCATAAAATGTTATTAGTCAAGCAACTTTGTGTGGCTTTTTATAATGAAATACGCAAGGAATAGAAATGGTTTAATATACTTGAGAGAAATGAAAACAGCTAAAAATGAACGAAAAGAAACTTTAACATATAATCGCTTTAATTTTCTTATGTATTGTGCTGTCTTATTTCGAACCATGATTGTCGTGCTTTTCTTCTTTCTGAAAAAAAATGAATTACATCCTTACATCTAAATCAGCACATGTATAGGAAAGTACAAATCAAAGTAGATCACTTGTGAAATTTACTTTTTCTTTGGTTGCGGCAACATTATTCACTGCATCCCGAACCTCTTGTGAATTTGGATCCACACCAGGTAAATCGGCAAGGAGCTGGCGAAGCAACTCAGGATCACTCATCAACTGACCCAGTTGATCATCCCCAGCCTTTTAATGTGTTTAATGAATTTTAATGTGTTTAATGGACTCTGGTCAGTGCTGAATCACATTGCTCTTTTAGAACTAGCACTATGAAAAAAAAGGAATACAAAATACTGATTAGAAGGACATAATTTGCATAGTTTTAATTTTTCGATCTATATCCATTTAACAGAAATCACAATAAGATTTTTTAGTCATATTAAAATTATAAGTATTTCACTAATGCACGAAAATGAATAACTCTGAGAGCCTATAAGATTTTTGAAAGAAATTAATTCGTTCAGTACTTCTGAAATTATACTTATTTAAGTCTTCAGTAAAGATATGAGAGGCGATTTGTAATTTCTATCCAGTCAAAAAACTCTTGTCTGAAACTGATGTGTCAACTTCCACCACTTTTTTACAAGCTTGAGTTAAATAAGACATGATTCTCAGTTTAATTAGCTTAGAGTATGTCAAAGATATTAAAAGGTTCTCACATTTACGATACTATGGCCAGAAAAAGTCGATTCATCAATTTCCATGGCTTCAGTACTAGCACTTTGAGGCGTTTTTTGAGAAGCAGTTTCCACGGCGCCTACTACCAGCTCACTAGCTGTCCCTGTATTTGGTGAATCCATATCTGCAGTTGCAGAACCTGTATTTTCTTGCATTGACATACGCAAAGCCCACTCCAACTGCTGCTCTTCAGTCATAGATCCTGGATCCATTGCCATCAAGTCACCTTTAAGAATATGAAAACTAGAACCGTTATCAAGATCGCAAGAAATGAAACTCACAACACTGTATTCTTTACTATTCTCTGAATTTAAGACAAGTTAAATGAACAAAGGCAAAACTTACTTTCAGCAATACTTACTCCTTGACTTGAAACTTCTTCCGTGCCTCCCCCACCTCTCTGTCGTTGTCGCTGTTCCTCCAGTGATACACGTAATGCCTGTTATCAAAAAAAGCATTAAGATTAAGTTTTTTGTCACATATTCATAACTTTATGTATTTACTTGTAGATAGTTTATCAAAATATTTAGTTTTGAAAGATTGCAAAAGCCAGGTATGCGCGGTGACACTAATATTTACCAGCGCTAGATCTGGATCATCTTCAGGATCGATTCCGAACTCGAATCCACCTCCACCAGCAGCTACAACAGGTGCGGCTGCACCATCTTCGCCACGACATATCGGTGAAGAAACCAATGCTTCAGTAAGCGATGAACTAGCTGGTACGACTACCAAATTCGAGCCACTTCCTTCTCTAAATAAGGAAACCAAAAAGTACTACAATATCTACCTTGAAATCATCTATATCACTTTTCTTCCAGTGTATTAACACTTCCGAATTACATGCAAAAAACCAAATTTATATATAAAAATATTATTTGACTCAAATATAAATTCCGTCTCAGTCATATCATGACTGATAATATTAGGGAAGAAACTGCTAAATTACTCTATAATACATTACTAGATATCGAACTAGAGAACTTGACTAAAAGTGAACTTATCTATCCCATGTTACAGTATGCAGTTACTTCTTGCTTGAAACAAATATTAACATTTATTAAAACTCAGAATCCAAACATATAGAGATAACCGTTCTAGTTTAACTTCATGTGAACCAAGATGTGACGTACTTTCCATTCAAAGTTTCGATAAACTGCCCCATAATTTCACTACTAGTTGAATCTGCTTCCCCGAAACATATCACGTCTACTTGTACCTTCTCCTTTTTCAACTTTTTTGCAAGTTTTGTAAGCTAAAAATAAGTTTAATTTAACTTGTATTATTTTTTAAAATTTCCTGAGCAGCTCTCTGTATATTGAGGATATACGATTGAAAATTACATGGTAGAACAAGAATATACTTGCAAGCATGGATCACGTGTACAATACTTGGTGTTAGTGTACACGTTGTTAACAGCAAACATATATGGCATTCACGTCTATTCAAATGAAAAAAAAAATCTGATAGAATTTGTACTGGTAGGATCTGTCATACATTAATAGATCGATACACAATTTTTTAATTTACATGAATTTTAACAGTTCGAACGAACTGCCCTTACGATAAAATAATTTAACATTGAGTTTTGAAAGTAACTAAATTTCTTACTTTTAATGTGAACAAATCCAAGGATAAACTCCAAAAGAAATGAAGCTAAAAAAATCGTCAAGCAACGTGCAGAAAACAGAAAATAAGTATGAACAATAAATGGTGAACACTCCGACATTATGACGTTTTTAACATGAATAAAAAACTTAACTTTTGATTATTTTCATGAATAGTAATAAATTAAGAGTAAACCTCAGAAGGATTAAGGTGATCAATGGGACTACCAACAAAAACCACAATTCGCATTTTATGATTTCTATTTTGTCGATGTTTCAAAGCCAAATGTGCCACTTTAATTCCATTGATAAAATTTGACGCCCCCTACAAAAGGTTATTGAGCTTCTTTATCTTCAAATTTCAATTCATGAAAGCCTTCACGACGACATAAACAGCCCATTTTGCGCGTTTTCAACAAATAACGATGAATTACTACTGATATGTCATGTATTCACGCCAAAAATCACCTTCGGTTCCACTTGATGAAGTTTCATGAATAATTTTCCATTTTCTTGTGTCAAAGTAGTCAAAACTTCTACAGTACTGCAATTAAGTTATTTCTGATATCATAATTCGAAAATCTCATTAACATTACAAGACTAGCAGTAGCATATGCCACATTCATATCACACAGAAAATTGATTAATATAAATTATACAAATTAAGTCTAATACTGTTAGAGCAATGTTATAACAAAAAATAGCTAAAAATTCTCCTAAAAAAGTTTCTATAACAAGTAGAAGGAAAATATGCAGATGTAGATTGAAGAAATATTTAAATTGTGCTTCAAGTAAAATATTTCCATTCAGTAATGAATCAAGTAATAATTACATACTCAGCCATCGCAATTAGCCCAACAGCATTTTCGGGATTTGCACGAAGTTTACATTGCAAGACCAGATTTGCTGCATCTTGCTGACATTGTAAACGAGTCGGTGCAAAGTCACCGTTTCGCATCCACTCCGAATTATCAACGCTAAAGCATACTTGGTGAATCTGATGTATACTTTCTACATAATTTAATTTATCTAAGCATCAAAAACTGATGCTTTTAATCAGTTTCAGACAACACAAATTTTCATCAGCACTATCTGAGCAGAATAATGATATCTGGTGCTGCAGTACACATATATGAGTGTCATTAATAAATGACTTCTGAAAGTTGGGAAAAGATAAAAATAATATATTTAGCTATCCTTATTCTATTTCGTGCAGCTATGTTCTGTAAGATTCAGAACAACTGCTTAGAATTATATACATTCATTACATTACACATCGTTAAACAGGTGGCCACTGAAGTATAAAACATAATGTACAATTTTTTATATTCCATATTTTTCTAAACACGTCGAAACAAGCACACCAGGAATTCAGCACTGCATAAGATAAAAAGAGCGAATACAAAAACGCTTACCATATCATGGTGCTTTCTTGAACCATAGTAGTAATGAAGAATTCCTGATACGGCTAAAAAAGCAAATGAATTTTTATGCTTGAAAACTGCGAAAGAAGACAAGAAGTATCACTCATGGCTTGACGGGACACACACTGCTTCATTAAAAAGATGAAGTTTGTATTTACCATTTCGTCATTTACAATTGTGACTTAATCAGTAATGCATTTCTCGATATGCTGTCCTTTACTAATCATATTTTGGCTTAACTACTATTTCCTTTTTCCACAAATCTGGAGATAAAATAAATTCTGAATCAAAGTTCGTATATTAAAACAGCGTTTTTCTCTCAATGATTAACATGTTTTATAACTAATTCTCATCAGCAAAGCATTCGCAAGTAGATGTTTTAAGCAGCAACATGACCTTACAACGTTTACAGACACAAAAGTGACAAAATCTACAAGTGAAAAATGCTATTCAAGTTTCGCCACGCACGTGGTGACCGAATGAATTACTCCTAAGAAATCAATTGAACACAATATATGCATTAAAAAATGTATAGGGATGACCTTGTTGCATTCCGAACGTTATATGTAAGCTAGGGCCGGAATAAAATTTTATTCTGCGGAAGAATTGCAATTGATGGAAGTATACCTTTGACCGGAATGTGGGATGTTCATTTGTGGTGGACTGGTTTGTGTCGGTAATTGTCTCAGGTGTGTAGTAGCTTTCTATAAGATCTATCCAGTTAAGAACTAAGAAACTTTCTGATAACTTTCCAAGTATTATGAATTCATAGTTACCTTCTGAAATGACAAATTTTTTAGAGACTGAAAGGTTGAATGACTCAATATCGTAGCAATAATATTTTTATTTTTTCATTAAATTGTCACTCCATATCTAGATATAGTTTCGAATTTGATGATGAAAACGTCCAGGTAATTAAAATATAGACTGATTTAATTTATCATAAGCCTAAAAGTTGGATAATAAATGTTAATGGTTTCTATTTTAGTGTTTGCCGAGCGTGTATTATATGTGATCTACTGCTGCATTAGCAGCGAAGTCTTGATTATCTGACGTGAGTGACGAAGCTTTATTTCAAGTCATTGCTATGGGTAACTTTTTGTGGTTATTTTCTGCTTGTTTTGTTTCCACATATATTATTATTACCATGTTGTTAAGAATCCAATTAATTAAAACTGTGGTCTGTGAGGCATATGAAGACTCACTATAATTACATCTATCTGAGAATTCTAGCCTCTGAAAATTTGAAAATTGACTTTAGCGAGAAAGATTTATTTCACAAATTGTTGCTGCACTCCAAGTTAATAAATTAAAAAATGAGCTCACAAAATAGCTTTCATGCGGTAACGAATCATCAAAATTTATTATGTTAATTACTTTGAAACTATATATGATTTGAAATGTTTGCTTAAATAAATTATTTTACCGTATATTTTAGATATTTTTACATTGAAAATGCTTTTGTTTATAATGAGAGTTTAACTAGATAAGAAAAGTACATATGTTGTAGAAATAAAGTTCTTCTTTAAGTGGATGTTCCACGAAATTTTCGTCTATTGGAAGAGCTTGAAGATGGTCAGAAAGGTAAAGGTGATGGTAATATATCATGGGGTCTTGAAGATGATGATGATATGACATTAACACGTTGGACAGGAATGATTATTGGACCTCCAAGAGTTAGCTTCTGTTTCATATTTCTTTATAAAAATTTGGTGTGATCAGGAACTCTTAATTTTTGTAAGAGTTTCATTGCTATGAGGAAAATTTCATTCTAAAATATACTTAGTAATTCCTTCAATTTAAAAAAAGTCATTAATTTTCAAGAAATAAAATAAATGGAACTTGCTTCTCAAAACTCGAATGAATTCATAACTAGAAATGTTTGTGAAAAAGGTCAGTTATCAATTTATTCGAGTTTTTTGAAGCACGTTTATCTACATTTTTATTCTGTTTTCGTAGGCTTTTGCATTTCCATACCAAAGAGTTATTGTTTTCAAAATTCTAAAGGTGCATAGATGTAATGTAAATGTAGATTCTACAGAAACATTAATCTAGGTTTACTATTGGAAACTGTGGTAGAGGGTCGAAATTCATAATTTAGCAATGTTAAAATTACATTTCAGACACCATTTGAATCGAGAATTTATAACTTACGCATAGAGTGTGGTCCAAATTATCCAAAAGAAGCTCCACTTGTGCGGTTTACAACGAAGATTAACATGAATGGAGTGAACCAAACTAATGGAATGGTAAATTAAGTTGAAGTTAATTTATGACATTTCTAAAATTTTTATTATTATTTCTAGATGTTTTCTCGTCACTGTCGAAATCATAACAAATAATATTTTAGTCTTGGGATTCAAATTTGCTAATAGGTCAGGAAGTTTATTGTAGTAAATAGATTTGAATGAAAGCATCATCAAATTATTTTATCTATTTAAATAGTAAACTGAAATGAATCATCAGAGAAATATAACTTTGTGTGGTGATTTCATTTCGATTCAAATTCTATAAATCAAATATGTATACATAAATATCTTTATATAGCTGACCTAGGTATTTCAAAGATTCATAATCAGGTTGATAGGCGTTACGTACCTGTACTTCGTCAATGGAATAATGCGTTCTGTATTAAAACGATTCTTGAAGATATACGGAAGACAATGATGACTGCCAAAGAGAATATGAAGTTATCGCAGCCTCCAGAGAGTGCCACTTATTAGGTTTATGTCGCTTCTCAGTATGCCGTAATGCGTTTTTTGTTTTATTAACTCTTAGTTAAGAATTTATTGAGTTTTGAGAAGCATGTTCTATTTATTTTAATTACATGTTCATGTTTTGCTTGTTCATCATGATCGGAATATTATTTAATATCTAAAATTATATGTTATCGATGGATATGTGGATGTTGAATTAAATCTATTTTCCATGAAGACATTTCATGTATTTCTACTTTTTACTGTTTTGATTATTATTGTACTATCATGTCTGATAAACTTAACACAGTATTCCATACTACTAAGTTACTGCTACGAGAAATCAATTTGGAAGATTATTCTGATTTTTTAATGACACTTTCGTTTGTCTAGTGCTTCATAAAATAATACACTGTGTCAATTAAATTATAAACTTTTGGTTCCAACTTTTACTTTTTTCATGTCTTTTTTGTTTTGAAAAATTCTAAGTTATTTCTTATAAATGAGCTCCATTTTAAATCTTGTTTGATGTCGAGATTACATTTTCGAATATTTTCGTCTAAAATATAATACTAATAACATTGATTATATTGAAATTAGGATAAAGTATTCTATGAATGCAGTTACTGATATTTCATTGTAACGGGATATAATGTGAAATCAAGTTATTATCTGTGTTATCTCATCCCTTCAACTTGCTTATTTTATTATTATTTTATAAAAAAATATTTTATTGTGATAATTTCTAATTTTGATTGACAAAATGTCATTTAGCTATAACTTTTAGATGTAGTTTGTGATAAATTTTTGGCTTTTATTTACTTCATTTGCGTGATTATGAAAATCGAAAATGTATTTTATGTCATTGTGAAAATGAAATGGTTAATTCAAAAATGAAATGGGAAACATAGATGACCTAAATGTCATCTATCCTGAAGTGGTGGGATTTTGATTCTGATTGGTTGTCAGCTTACGTTTAAAACAAACTTAACGAACATCTTAATCATTATTGCAGATTTTTAAGTGCATATTGGAAGGCTTACGAAAATGGTATAATGGCAACTTTTGATGCTGTGACGCATAATGGTGAGGCTATTTAAGTAGACATTTTTCGCTTCTGAGTGCTAGTTTTGGATTGCAGTTATGGGGATTATTTTATGTAATTGATCAGGAGAGGGTCCATAATTACAGTTTTTAGCGTCCACTGTTGTCGGAGTTTACTTCACATCCAATTTTCTGGTTCACATCGGGGCTTAGTACATTTGGAATGATATCGTTTAAGGATTGACTTGTAAATTTCTTTATTTTCTCTAAAAATCGTAGAAATTTTCAGAATTACTTGTAGCTATTCAGTGCTATCTCTCTCAAGGTCCTTGTAAAGAAGCAGCTAAGAAGTTAAAAGAAGAAATAGAAAAGAATCAGGTTCTTTGTTTAATATTCATATTTTTTCGTTACTACGGTATATTTTTATTCAAGTGAAATAGCTTGATCTCCTGATTTCTGATGAAAGCAGTATATGTTGACTCAATGTTGGATTTTCTTGTTAGTATGGATTAGGATTTATGCAAAAAATTGGATGTTAGGTAGTTGTTAAAAAGAAAATTCAAATATTGACAAGAGTCATACTATTGTGAAATATCAGAATGTCTCCCCCTTCTTTTGCAAGCTTTTCAATGGCTGCCATATTTCAGCTACTACCAGTACGATATGACTATATGGGTCATACCCATCAACGTACTTTCGAAGATTTTGTAAGTTTATCTCATGAAATTTTTTATTTAATATTAAATATGTCATTGTGGTATTGTTAAGGCAAAACATAAGGAATACCTCATTCTAAAAAAATTTCTAGTGTTTTGCAGTACATATTTGAAGGCATTGTTATTGTTCCAGTTTTTAGCTATTAATGTAGGTAGTATTGGACGAAATGACTTGACGACCAGTTGATTTTCTTGAATTACTAAAATAGTATTTTATTTATTTTTTAAGGAGAATATGGTGGGACCATTAAATGTTTCATTGGTTTCCATGATTGAGCGTCTTAGTTCACTGATCTCGACTGCAGTCCCAATTACATTCCGAAATCTACCTCTAAGAATATTTATCAATAAGTCACAAGCTTTAGATCGCAAACCAGGTTGCAATCTCTAGCAGTTTAATTCTTTTATGGTGATGCATTTTTTTCATGGCTATGTAAAGTACAAGCATATTAGTAACGTTTAGGAGATTTGATTACAAAGCCAACGTTAAGAGGTGCGCTAGGACGTTCCAATATTAGCATGCTGAAAAAACTGAATCCTATAAGATCGCGCATGGCACGTGAGCTGGGTATGTCCGTGTCTCCACAATACCTCTTGCACAAGGTACGCTGTAGTGTTGTTGCTGATTTTTTTGACAGCATATTTGTTAGAAAATAGTCAGAAATGCTGACATGACATGTGCATTACAAATAAAAAGTAGTTTTTTCCTTTTTTCTTATAATTTCGTATGTAAAAAGTTATTGTCAGTCTATTTTACTGTCTTTATAATCAAATATAGAGAAGTTTTCCACACAGCATTTAATTGCTTACTCATTAGGAAATATGAAAGTAACTGAGAACAGTATAAAGAAATATATTTCGTCAGATTATGAGATTTGAATAGTTCGAATTGTATTGAAATCATATAAAAAATATTGCATTATCAATTAAGTACTAACTTTTATTCACTCATTTTTTTCCATCAGCGACCGAAATACCTATTCTCTGTTTAGTAAATATTTTTATGAGCTGAAGAATCAAGTTTTCAGAGTTCGATGAATAATTTTGAACTTCATTATCGCATTCTTGGCCATTTGTCATCAGTTTTTTGCATTGCATTTGATAAAACTGGATCGTATGTCATAACGGTAAATTTTTCACATTTTGGTTTCTTTACTCTCTTCCTTTTTTGTGCGTTAAATCTGAGATTAGATTTCGATCACTATTTGATATCGAATTTTACTGCAAGCAAAGTCAAAGATAACTACTGGTTTTGGATTATATCAGTTTTTGCATGCGCGCTCGACGTTATTTTAGGTATTATAAATTTTGAACTGTTTCCTAACTACATGATAAATATATTGTAATTTCTGATCTTAGTAATCATTTTATTGTGAAATAAATGCCGTGAATTTTAATGTCATTAGCAGGAATATTTCTAGGGTGCGGACGACAATCTCGTCAAGATTTGGAATGTACGAACGGGCTTGTTGCGTTTCACTTTGCGAGGGCATTCAGCAGAAATTTCTGATATGTCCGTTTCCGAAGATAACGCGTTGTTAGGTACTGGCTCTGTAGATAAGACAATAAGGTAATTTTTTTTACATGATTCTTTTAATTTATAAATTTTGTTTCTCAAACCTTCGGATTTTCTAGTTTTTTTAATATCAGATTAGGTATTAAGATTAATGAATATGCGATATGTTAAAAGTTTATTGATGCTTATTTGTTAGATTTGAGTCTTTTTATTTTTGGATTGCCGTATTTCTTATGTTTCTCGTGTTTTATTGCTATCTGGTAATAGCTTATGGAAACAGTTTGCTTTCATTATTCACTATTTGTCAATCTATAAAAAATGAAACTTTTATCATTGAAGCTATAAGGCTGAGCACATTTGAAAACTTGAAAAGAAAAAATTTCTTTGAACAGAATTTTTGAATTTTTTTGTCAAGTTCGTCGTTCTACAATTTTTTGTCGTTTGCACATAAAAAGTTTTATACATCACATTTGGTGCGCTTTCTGCTATATATATTTGTAATAATTCAAGAATAGTATGCGTAAGGACTTGTATAATTTCTAAATCAAGTCTCGTCAAGATAGAGATATATTTGTTGTAATGCTGAAATTTATAGGGTATGGTGTTTGCAAACAGCTGCACCATTAGCATTTTATCGCAGTCATTCGGCTATGGTTACATTAATAACCTTTCTCCCTTTTATTGATAGTTCGATCCGGTATTTGGTATCAGCTGGCGGTGATTGCCTCATAAATTTTTATCGCTACAGTGTTTCAGACTTTAGCTTTGAGTACGTCAATTATTTAAGATGTTACTGAAAATTTTTCTATATCCAGTTCGAGAGAATCGATTTTAAATTTTCTGCCTAGATTGTTGAGAATTTATGAGTGTAAATATTTGTAAAATGTGGTTCTAAATAATTTAGTTTCTTGTTTTTTTTCAAAAAAAATATTTTTTTGTCAAAGAATATTCTTTTATTTACTGAATAGTTTAGAACAACACCGATTCGCTTCTGTGAACGTACTTCATCAGGTGCTCGTATAGTAAGTTCATGTCATAGTCCTGGTGGAAGCTTAATAGTTTTTGGAGACACCCATCACAGTCTTAGAATTTATAAAGTTGCTGGTGACAGTATCGTCAAAATCAAGGACATTGAAGCGCATGTGGTATTTTCATTTCTAAAAACTGTGTAACAAATCATTTTTGATTATGGGTCTATAAGATGCTATCACAATTCTTGAATATCAGCAAGCATTATTGCTAAGCTTAAATTTACTATCTCATTGCTTAGGATACATAATTGACAATTTTTTTGTTGATAGGATCGTGTCGATAGTTTAGCATGGGCACATGAAGGATTACGATTTGCAAGTGGTAGCCGAGATGGCTATGCAAAAATTTGGAAACCTGATTATAATACTTGGACTCCCTTAGTTTTGTATCCAAAAGTGAGGTAAACTCAGTTATTTATAGATTTGTGCTCGTGTTAGATTTTTTTATGTGAATGTTTTAGATATCGGTAAATTCTTTTTTAACATTTAAATATTTAGCGTTCAATGATATTGTTCTCATTTACCGATTAGTAAAGTCAATAATTTAGATAAAATGAAACTGTTCAGTAAATACTAAATTAGTCTGCGTAGTAAACAAAATAACAGAATTATGGGAAGAAAGGAAAATGAACACTTCTCTTTTTCTCTCACTAATAATCCTTTCAAAATATGTATTTAGTCTTTCGTATCGAAAAATCGTTTTTGGTCAAAATATAATTGTTGGCTTTTTTATTTCATCCTTCGAATCGATCATAAATATTTCAGAGATGAAAAAGTATCGAATTCCCGAAATACATATAAAGTAACAATGTTGTGTTGGTCATTAAGGGATGATTTCGTCGTCACTGCTGGATCTGACTTCGTATTACGAGTTTGGTCTTCTGAGTCCGGGGATGAGTTACGTCATATGTTAGGACATAAAGAGGATGCTTATGTATTGCTTTCGCATCCTGTATTCAAGGAATATATTTTAAGTAGTGGTCATGATGGCTTTTTAATGGTTTGTTCTTTTGTTGCTTAACAATTGTTTCTCTTAATCATTAAGCAATAATGATGCACATTTTATGCATGAATAAGATTTTTTGGATGGAATTATGAGAATAAATGTGATCAACCATTGCCATATCAATAGAAAGAAACGAATGAAAATTCGTTATTTATCAAGTGTTGTAGGTTTGGGATGTGTATACAGGCACTGTAGTAAAACGACATCAAAATCTCATTGAGGGATCTGGATATGGAGCGATTTTTGATTTTGCCATTTCACCTGACGGTACTTTGGCTGCGGCTGTTGATTCACATGGACATCTCTCTATTCTTGGTGTCGGAACTAATCAGATGGCTAAAACAACACCGAAAGAGCAATTTTTCCATACTGATTATATGTAAGTGTATTCGCAACGATTTATAAATTAAAAAAAGTAGGCTAAGTTTTAATTTGAAAGTGTAAATCGCGCTACTCGAAGTATTCATAACCGTGGAGCATTTTGAAGGATGCCATACTGTTTTTTTTTTCGTCACTGTTGGATCTACTATCTGAATAATGATCATTTGTTAACAGATATGTGGCAAGGTCCAGAATTGTATTTATTGCAATCCTTTTGTAAATTATTTGTAAATGAATTATATGAGTTTAGGCCCCTTATTTTGGACGAAAATAACTATTTTGTTGACGAAGAAACGGAAATCGCACCTCATTTGATGGGGCCACCGAGATTAGTTGATGCAGATGGCATTGATTATGATGACGATATACAGACTATGGTCCCTGGTCGAGATCTAATAATACGTGTACTATTTTGGAATCAATCTTTCTTTTTTGCACTTCGGAAACTGAACCAATTTAAAGTAGTCATTTATTTTTGCGTACCTCTCACTCGAAAAAATAATCGCTTGTTATACAGATAATTCAAACTTCCTGAAGTTTTGAAAATTAATATTCTTGATGATTTCGGCATATTCGAAGTACCATTTAGATTATATGAGTGAGTTGTAGGATGATAGCATAATTCCTCAAAATCCACCATGGTTATCACGAGAAATGGTTTCTAAATTGCCGAAGTCGACGGTTCATATTAGAAATATGTATTTGATTGCATTAAGACATGAAGAAGAGAATGAGTTTCTACGGGAGATGAATCGAACTCCATCACGTGTTAATTCAATTATTGAAAGAGTAATTATTGTCGTGTTTTTTTTTTTTGATTTAAATTAAACAAACTGTTTTTAAAGTTAAGAAATGGATAACATATATGAATGCGTGTTTCTAATTTTTTAATTTCAGGGGAATAATGTAATAAATACTGTTTCTCAAAAACGTCATTCAGGCATGTTTTGCTTACTTGCCCATAATATAGAGATAAGTGTTAATTTCTGAGTAGTTCTTAAAATCAACACTGATTTTTAATATTTGACTGTTTGCATAGAAAGTAAATTGTTTATTCGGAAAGTTTTGGTTTTAAAAGAAATATGTTTTTAAGATATTTTATAGCTGCAGAATTTTAACAGTTTTTTATTCACTTACACCCTTTTCAAATGTTAGCAATGAATAAATTATTTTAGGGGTTCGTTGGTCAGAATGTTTTCCGCAGCGACGGCGTAGACTTCGTAATCAGCAACTTTCAGTTGATGATGCCGAAAATGAAGATCCAACGGATACGTCAATAGCTGATTCATCTTTCAGTTCCGCTTGTACAACTGATGAGATGTCAAGCGATGAAACGAGTACCGATGATTCAAGTGATAGTGATTATGTCATCAACACACGTCGAAGCTCTGTAAGCCATTACGAGTGCTAATTATTCTTACATATCCATAACAGTTCCATTATCTGTTAGTTTATTCATATGATTTCGGACAATGATCACTGGACTATATCGAATCACTTTATTGTGCCTTTTGTTTGGTTCAAAGTTTTTAGATTCATTTTAAAAATATAATTTCATGAGTAATATAACTATTTGATTCGCAGAATCAACGCCGTAGACGGAATGAAGTGGGACGTGACAATCATGCCATTTCAAATAGTGAATTGCCGAGTAGGATTTCAACTCGAAGAAGACAACGCCAAACTTTATTTCGAGGTATTTTCCACACTCACTGTTTAATACTGTGTGATATTCTTCCTCTTCAAATATAGAATTACTAATGGTTGGAATCTAACTAAAATCAAACAGTGATAATTCCAAGTATTTTGCTATAGATTACTTTTTGTCAACTTTATTCACAATGATTTTTAGATGAATCACGAGAAGTGCATTTCGTTGGCGATAATTCTATGGACAAATGTGAGCCAGGTCCATCTTCGCAGGTGGATTTCGCTGATACTGAGCCAGGACCATCAGTAATCAGACCTGTCTCATCTAGAAAAGAGGCTTTGCATTCTTCATTGGACACCTCGGGTATATCTACCCCACATTCACCTTCAGAACAGAGTGCATCACCTACTGTGTTGGATAATTACGATGCTGATACAGATTTTCCGAAATGGATGCGCCTGACACAACCACTTCGTTTTCCATACATTGCTCAAATCGGTGACGAAGTAGTTTATTTTAGACAAGGTAGTTTTCATGCTCTCAAAACAACCATTCATTTTTTTTCTCATCTAAATCAATATATCTCTTTAGAAGTGTTTTGCTATTTTCATGCTATTATTATTTGTACAGTAATTTTGTAACAATGATTGGCTTGGAAAAGCACAAAAAAAAAATGAATGTTCAACATAGATGAGACAAAATACAAACTCTCGTTTTTTAAATTCCAGTGAGTACTTTTTCTGAATATTTTATTTGTAATAAATGTAGTTTTAATCTGAGTATGTAATGCATTTTACAGGACATGAATTTTATTTGCATGCAGTAGAAACACGAGGTCTTTATCATGTTACCCATAGACTGAAGCCATTGGCGCATTTAAATGCTGAAGAATTTTGCATTGTTGATGAGGTATGGGTTTGTAATTTTTTACCTGTAATGGTACATTTAATAGGCAAATAATTTATTTTAACAATTTTAAGGTGACTTCCCTTTATTTATATCAGCAAATTGAGATTTAGTATATTATCCCTATGAAGCCCTCCGTTTGGTGGCATAGAGTTGGTGAACTTATTAAGTTTAGTTTAATGATATTAATGCGTTATTACAAACTGTTCTTTTTTATTCGAAGTTGGTGAACTATGACAGTTCCAAAATGACTTCAATTGCATTTTATTCAGATAAGGTACATAAGAAAGCCGTATAGATTAACTGTTGTAAAACTTGCTCAAACCAATTCATCGGGTGTTCGAACTGGACTTATATTTTCTGTCAAGTGAGCCTGGTTTATTTATTTCCTGTAAACTGTACTGAAATTCACCGTTTGATCCACATTATCTACATTAATTTATATCTATGTTCAGGTGACAAGTAAAAATAAAATAAATTAAGATTCTTGCGAATTATTTTAGTGCTTTGCTTTCCATATCTTGTCTTATTATCATGTAAATTATTAGTATTTAGTTTTTGATTTCTCTTTTATTTAATATTTAATGGCTTATATGTTCTTTCATTTTTTAAGATTTCATGATATGGAAAGCGTTCCGGACTTCATTATTCTTAGACATCTCTATGAAGAATCAGTAGCCCGTCGTTATCAGCCGGGAACCCGAATTGAAACTATCTTGGACAATCACTGGTGGACTGGTACTATTGATAAAAAAGAAGTACATGATGAAGAAAATTATCCTAGGTAGCAGTGATTAAGTTGCAAATAATTCTATATTTTGCCAACTCATAATCTCAGTCTTTTAATGTTTCAGATCGAATTGGTACTGTCTTACTGTTAGATGGGATACTGGGGAAGATGAAAAAATGAGTCCATGGGATGTCCAACCCCAGCAACCAAATCGTAGATCAGGTAAGCAAGATCTCATTATTAAATTTGTTCTAACAAAAGACTTCTAAAATAGCGATATAAAAATTCTGCTGGTTGGTTAAAATTAATTAATAAATTCATTTCGTCGTTTGTCTATTAAAAGAAATATTTTAGGCAATTGATTTCATTCTTTGTGAAAGCAAAAAAAGCTAGTTCAGAATTTTGTATCTGTCTAATTTATAATACTTGAAGGTATTGCTACTGAAATGGATCAGGTATTATTTTCGCAGTACCCAGTTAATGAAAGAGATTGGATTGGGGCAGTAGAAGGAATCAATGCTTGCTCTGAACGCCTTATTTGCGCTGTTAGAAGCATTGAAGATGACCCACATATAAAACCTTTTTCAACACCAGTTAATTTGACTGATTATCCGGATTACTTGTGGGATGTGGATTATCCGGTTGATTTGAGCACTATTGTTCAACGAGTCAAAAATCGATTTTACAGGTTGAGATAATTTTCTAGCAGTATTATTTTCTTATCTTCTTAACCTTATTGTTCGTATGAAACATTTTAGACTTGTCAGCAATATGCTGTTTCATTAAAGCCGTGAGTCATTGACTTTTTATTTCATACTTGTATTTGGTGCTGATGACCAATTTGAAATAGATTTTTGTAATGAAAAATTTCAGAAGATTAGCAAGTTTGGAACAGGATATTCGATATATTGCTATTAATGCACGTCTCTTCAATCAACCTAATAGTGAAATTGTTCGAAATTCAAGAGTTCTAGTAGAAACTCTTATTCGTTATTTACGGTAAGAGTTTTTCATATTTGTGTTTGTAAAGTAGACAAAATTTTTTTATCAAGGAGTTTTTTGACTTTGCTGTATGGATGATTATTTTTAATAAAACTGGCTTTTTCGCCTCTATTATTCATTATATTGCTAAAAGATAGATAGGTCACTTTTCACAAATTCTACAATTGATATTGCTTCATGTGAAATTTTAATGCATCGCATTACTAATATGCTAATTGTTTTAATTGAGTGAGCTCTTTTTTTCAAAATGGCACTTTTTATTTCGTGAATCTAAAATTTTTTATGGAATTCATATATTCAGTAATATTCAATATACGGATGTGATGCAGTTATTCATTACCTTGAAAAACGGGCAGGACAGTGAATTGAAAGAATGCAGTAATTTAAAGCAGTCCATCAAAACTACAGTGGAAATAGGAAAGCTGTCTTCTGGTTCAGAAAAAGTTAAACATCGTTCGGTTAATAATCTCCTATCTCCTAATTCTTCTGTAGATCTTCCATCCGACTGGTATTCGGAATGTGTTAGCGCTTTGCAAGAAGTAATATCTGAGCGTACTTCAACTCATTTTGTGAACTCTGGAACAGAGGTGGGCAGTTTTATATTCTGGTATCTTATAAGTTTGTATCTTTTAAATGCTAGGCATTTGGCTTTAAACACTTTCCTTTCGATGAGTAATTCTAGTTTTTTTTCCAGTTTTTAATTAGATTTCGCAAGAAGAATTCAACAGTTTTTTCTTTGCTAAAATTTAATCCTTACCACAGATGATTTATAGAGAAACTTTCGCATTATACTTCAATTGTGAAATTCTTCCTCACTTTGTTCTCATTTAAATAGCACTAAATATCTGATTGATATTTTGTGTAAATAGTTATTATACTAAGTAAGATTCTTTTATTGTTGCTGAAAATATAACATTATTCATATTTAATAGTGCATTATGTCCGAATTAAAAATATTTAGCAAATTATCATTTGGTTTCTTACATTTCTCAGTATCTGTATTTATTGCTACTATCGCAGAAAACTTAATCGATTCTACTTAATTTAATGCCCACTGGGGCCGACATTGTTATGTTTGCATTAAAATTGAATCTCAAATGTTGATACAACCAACTTAAATAACAGCACTAGGTTTTCTTTCTTTTTTGTCGGAATGAAATTTTCTTAGAAGTGTCATATGCCAAACCCGTTATTTGCTATTAACACTTTTTATCACTAATTGTTTGGTTTAATATTAACAAAGTGATTTGATAGTGGCTCACTGATGTCTTTTTGGCCTATGATGACCTGTCAACCGTGAAGGAGAAAGTTATCTTTCGAGTATATAGCAGTCCACTAGAAGTCGTAAATGCAGTTAAAACTCTGATGCAGGCGTGTCGTAATGCTGTAGACAACAAGCGGTCCCCGGCAAGAATTTTTGTTCTTTTTTAGATCGAATAAATACTGTTTCTTGTGTCGACAAATTTTCTTTCATCATTTATTAGTCTAAGTCTGACAAATAATTGGTCTAAAAGTGTAGTGGTTCATGAAACGATTTAGTTTTATTTTATCAAGTATTCCAATGAAATACTATTTAAACTTGAGTAATTAGTGCTGTGTTATGAATGAGGTGGTTCAAGTTTTATTTTGGTTGAGACATCGGGGACAACGTTATCAAGACTTAAACGAGGCCAGGAAAAGTTGTTTTAGGTTTTTCGCGACAGTTTAGCATGTGCTGCATCTTTTGACAGTAAAATGGCACCCGTTGTAGCAAAGTGGCAGCGTATGAAGCAGTCAGAAAGTATACCAACGTCTCTAACTGGTGATGAAGGTCGTCATTTGCGTGATCGACCAAAAAATGCACATGTTTACAATACAAGAAGGTTAATGTAATTAAAATGTTAGATTTCAAGACGTAACGCGTACCAACTGTTTTTTGTTTCAGGTAGTCGTGAGAAATTAAACTTCATTTTTTGTTTTTTTTAGTCGTCGAGAAAGAAAACATAGTGATCAAAAAATAGATGCATCGACGAACTTGACGCCAACAGTGTCAGTTCGTTCAGGACGTTCTGGACGAATGCCCAATGGGTATTATCGAAATTTGAATAATGGAATATATATGAGCGGAGGACGAAGTTAGTGTTTGTAATTTTGTCTTTCCTTCTAAAAATCGATGAAAATTTTTGAACAAACTTTATTATTTTGCAGGTGCATCGAGCTTCAGTTTTTTAATGTCAACCGCAAGCAGTACGGTTAGTTCTTAATTTTGACTACAGAATGATGACAGTTTATTAGTTATTGATCGAAATGCATAAAAAACTTTTGTTGCCACTTACTGATATTATTTTTGGCTTTGCTTTTATTTTTCTACATGCATCGCTATAAAATGATAATTGTTTTTCTATGGATTATTAAAAACATATCAGAACACAGTGGAGTACAGCATTCAATTTTTATATCAATTCCAGTATTTCTACTGGTAGTAAACTGTATCACGATTTACATTGCAGGGGCCTAGTCGTTCAAGGAGAAATGCAATAGAATGTGATCAAACAAAGTACTTTTTTTATTTACAGCGAAAAAATTTTTTCAAGCGTTGTGTTACATTGCTATAATTTCAGGAAGCACGAGATCAACGGAAATTGCAATGCTCCCGACGAAGATCAACCAGGTTAGTCTTTGAAAAGTTAACGGATGGCTATAAGTTATTTTTTATTTTCAATGTCCATCTTTCTTATCTGGTTTCGGTTTTGTAATGAAAAATCGATATTATTGATGTGACCTTAAGTAAACAGTTTGTTTACACATACAGTTTGAAGACATACAATTTCCTCTGCAGTATGATCTTAGAGTTACGTCGAGAACCTAGTAGAAAAGCTCTTATTTTTGACTACGTTTTATTTGCCTCACGTACTTTATTTAGTCATATATTTATTAAATTCTTCCGATACAAACATGACATTGGAATACAATACTAATCCTGCTGCGCTACAGTTTTATCGATATTACCAAGATAAAAAATAGCCATTTAAGTAAAGATTTCACTATTTGTTTCTTATTGTAACGTCAGTACCTATACTGATTGATGACTGTTTTTTCATTTTTCATGAATCAAGTCTAATATCGTTTTCAGGACCATCGGGATTACAAAACGCATATAATGGCACGAAATTAAGAAAAAACTTTAAAAAAAGTGAAAGGTCTTGTGATTTGTTAGTTTTATTTCATATTTTTGAGATATTTCATCCAAAAATATGGTTTCTTCCATTTTATCTATGTTGAAGAGGTGAATTCTTCATTGAGAAATTCACATGTTTTTAATTTACATTAACTGAAAAGGCTTGTATTTAGAAAAAAGGGATTAAAAAAAATTGAAACATCCAATGCTGAAGTATCAAAAACTAATGGCGATCTGCATGAAGAAAGAAGTGATATAGAAGATGACCCACTCAGTGACTGCAGCTGGAATACACCTGGTGCAAAGAAATGCAAGAAGTTTGTTTATTACTTTATGAAATGTGATATTGGCAGAAAGTAATCTAGTTAAATAGAAAATAACTTGAATTCATTCATTGTGGAAAAAAATTTGCTCACAGAATGTTACGCTATAATGTGAATGTTTTCTCGCATTCTAAAATAGTTCTGTTTAAAAATGGAGTGCATATTTTCATAGTTTTCAAAGCTGGTTTTGTAGTCAACAGAAGAGACTCCATAGTGGTCTAGAAAGTGAAGGGATGAATAATAAGCGCAGACGGCGGTCATTACCAAAAAAGTATGAAAACGACTCAACTTCTGTTTCAAATGCGCCAACCAGACAGGATTTGCGAGTTGAAAAAGCCTATGAAACTAGAAGCCGGCATGGACATTTAGATTCGAATGCTCTTGCTTCTGTAGAAACTGCTAGAAACAATCAGTTTCGAATAAAGCTCAGGCGATCAGTTCAGAGAAACGTCAATTATAGAGAAGGTGAGATTAGTGATGGTGATGAATCGTCAAATAGTTCTGCAAGACGAACGATGAAAAAAGCTCGTAAGCCTGATAAGTAGTTCTGTTTCTAGTTCACATCATTTTCTGTTTGTCACCTAGCTTTCTGTTCAGCAATGAAGTGCGTAATTTTGTCATGTTTATTGTTTTACGTGTTATTTGTCTTCTAAAAACAATCGAATTGGAAAATCGTAGCACCATAATCAGCGTAATCAGACTTATATTTTCTTTGAGGAATTGAAATTTGATAGATTTAGATCTTGGGGAAGGGAGAAATCGAAGTATGCTGTTGTAAATTGTAAGCTTGAAACTGTGATCTGATTTAAACAATTTTTACTAGTTAAAGAAACTGAATTTCCTGTTTGCGTGTTGTGATGTGTGTTGTAGATTTAACTACTTGGACGATAAATGATAAATGGGCTCTGTTTTGAATGCAGTTCGCAGCTGTGAAAGGACTGAATTCGTTGTTGCTTACCTTGTTACATATTTCATGACATTTTTCAATGAGATCAAATGTTTATTAGCATGAAGCTGCACTTTGTATATTATTGTGTTTGTTCAGTTTTACGTTTGTTCTTGTTTTTATCTGCAAGTTTGCATATCTAAGTGTAGTTGTTTCTGTCGGTTCCTTAATGCATAACTTAAAAATACACAATAAAATTACTAACTCAGTTGTGAATAGTGTATTGTACAAAATATTATGAATCTTTTCCATATCAAAACATCGAATATCTGGAAACATTCCAATAAATGTCTGAAGATAAAAGCATTTATAGTCGTGGTACGATAAACTTCTCAATCATGAAGTATTTACACATCTTAAATGGGTAATTGGTACAGTCTTTCCAATTCCGTATTTACAATTTCTTTAATTTCGTAATTTGCAAAAAATTTTTAAACTACACGTCTGATGGAAAAAATTGAAGTCATACTGGTGAGTTTGATGCTTACTGAAAACGTGATAAGAGAACAGCATAGAATTTCGAAATTTCGTTGCATTTTGGTTTTCAGCACTGTGAGAATGGAATCAAAACTTGGATTAATAAACTTGAAATAAAAAGAGAAGCAGGATAGATATTTCAGGGTAACTAAAGCAGTGTCAGCCAACTCCGTATATAAACTCCGCATTTTTTGACCTTAAATTCCTGTAACTCAATTCTTGAATGTCTATTAACAGTTTTTTGAGAAACCATCAAGCAGCCTCTTCTGTATCTGAAGCGTGTCTTGCAAAATTCTACGCACAGTTCAAAACAAATTTAATCAACATAATCAGCGAGATTCATAAGGAAGTATGAAGAGGGCTAATTGATGAGATTTGAACAATAAAGAAGTGGGAATTACTTACATTAATTGCAAGAAATCTCAAGATAATTTAAGAAATCCCAAAACTAAGAAGACAAAGAATGAGTGCTAAAATCATCGACTATGGACTTTTATTTGCTGTACTATTACTCAAAGAAATCAGTACTTAACCACTTTCTGTCCAACAACTATTGCTTATGCGTAAACTTAAAATTAGTCTACGTAGCAGTGACATTTATTAATGTTATCCATAACAAGAAAGTTTATTGCCATCAGTTGAGCAGCAACGATAATAAAAAATATGGAGACAGAAGATTTAACAGGAAATTAGTATGAAGCGAACTTATAACTCTCAAGAATACATCATTGCGAAAGTTAGTTCATATGCAATCCATTTCTCTGGAAAATTGACGAATTAAGATTTAAGATGCCGGTATAAGTCAAGAAGGATGCTCGCAATCCCAATGTTTAAGTTGTAAACATATTTCTCAACTAATTAAACAGTATTTCCGTGACGTATCTCGAAAAATTATGATAATCTATGAAATCATAATTGCTTTAATTGTAACAATAACAATTATTTATTGAAAGCAAGCAGTATCAAAATATTAATACAGAAAACTGGTCAAAATTTGCAAAATTATAAATAAAATGTAAAAATGGACAGAAACAAAAAAATATTATTAGGTCACTTAAAAAATATGACAGTTTCCAATTATGCATTTGAAAAAGAAAATAGAAGTGATCGTGTGCATAAAATTAGGAATGTTTAGAAAACATCAAACAGTTAGAAAAAGTTTGCACGACTACATTCAGATTTCAATTCTAAAAGGTAATCTGATAACAATCTTGACAGTAATAAAGCACTGTGAGAATAGAATCAAAAACTAAATTAAAGGACTTGCAAAAATATCTGTTACCTTCTTAAAAAAGTGAATATGATTCATATGCCCCTACAAAATACACAAAAATGGATGTTTAAATATGTCAATCATGTTCAAGTTCCCTGAGCAATGTATTCATATTATTGGTTATATCATCAGCTGCATGAAGAAGATCTCCTTGCAACTGTGCAGCAGGTACTGAACTTGCTCTTTGCATTGAACGATCTCGAAAAGCTGAGGAAACACGGTCTCCAATACCAGAAAGTGACTCCGGTATAGCACTCATACTTCCACCCCTCGATTGCTGCAAAAAAGTTTAGTATTATGCATTTATTAATAAGACTCCATTCTGAATTACGTAAGGTTGAACTTTTTTGAAATGAGCCAACACAATACTTCGCACAAAGCGATAAGTTTAAGAAACTTTAAAGCTACACACTGATTTTACGCTATTTACAATTCAATCATTGTTCAATCTTATCCATTATGGAGATGTCAAGATGGAAATAAGACCAGTCCGAACAGTCGCAACATTAAGTAAAAACTTAAATTGAGATGTGCTTATCAAAAAAGTTCACCACATATTTGATTTGCTCCAAGTTTAAATGCATAATGAACATGGCGACATTAAAATAAACTTCCGTCTACATTCAGATAAAAGTACTAATGAACGAATATACTACCAAGCGTTCCCTTGCAGCACAGCATGCAAAGCGGCTTCTAGAGAGTCTTGCCTGATGATGTTTGCTCTATCAGATTATAATGCAAAGTATATTCTAAGACAAGACTGTCTGAATATTTTTTCTCTTCCTTTATTTTTTAGTGCTAGCGCTGTTGGCTTCCTTCCTGACTTACTGTGGCCCACGCACATTACTATTGACCCTCACTTCCCGATTATTCCATGAATACTTTTCAATTCCAATGATTTCATTTTATTCTTTAGCCTTTCCCTACTATACTTTTCATCTACTACGAAGGATTAATTCAGAACATATATATGAACAAATCAATATGTACAAATTCATCATGTAAAGCTATACAAGATGCGGAAAAATAAAATTTCTCGATAGCTGAGTCATTCATATGGCTACGATACGGAAAATTTACCCCGCAAGATGAAGCACGATACTTTAATCTCCAAAATAAAAATATGTCTGGAGCTGAAAAAGGTCTATAACAATATTGTAGGGATCGTGTGAAGAGGTGAACCATTTAGCAACGCAGTGCGAAAAAATGTTATATCACGACTATACTAGAAGACACAATGAGGTCCAATGATGCATGCATTTGGGATTCTGCAGGAAGTATGGTCTGAAAGCATTCCCCGTATACGAAGCCATTCTGTTTAGGAGGTTGTAGATAATGAGAACATTGAGATCAGTGTCGATAGTGAGCAAGATTAGCTTTAGAGATAAATGCGGATCGACCAGATATCATGATACACAATAAGAAGTAACGTAAAGTACTCTTCTATCAAATATGGATTCCATAAGGACAAAGCGAAAACGATGAGTACAACAAATCTGAGCGTGGGACAAGTACAACCAAAGTGCCGGAATGCGATCCAGCGCCAGAACCAATAAAGCGAAAACAAAAACTAACCTCCGCATTTTATTTCATACATAAACTACTTCGAAATTATGTTTGAATTTACATACATTTAGCTCTGACATCAGCACTTCCAACTGTTGCATCAGCTGTCTGCGTGTTTGTTGCATGACACGCATTTTCTCTTCTAGTTGCGCTTTTCGTTCACGCAATCCACTTAACTGGTCATCTGTATTCTCCAACTCCTGAAAATTAAACAGTTGTACTACGAAAGTACGTTATTTGGAAACAGACTAGACAGATCAATCAGCTTATTAACTTTGCTTCTAAGTTATTTCATCAAAATAGACACGGCGAAATGCATTGTCACAACTAATCATTGGTATGTAAATTATTAATTAATGAAACTACGGTTACCTGTTGTTGCTTTAACATTTCCATCTCACGTAACATTTCACCGTTCTCTTCTTCAAGACGTGCAATTAATGTCCTCTCACTTACATCTTCACTTGTAGTGTTCACACTGTCTCTCGGCAGACGGGATCGATACTTGAAGTTTTCATCATTGTCAATCAAGTAAACACGAATAAATATAATAAATCCGGCCAAAATACAGACCAGATTTTTTTACACATAGGAGCTAAAAACTTCTTCAAAACATTATAGATGGAAAATGAAACTTCGTTACCAAAAATGTTACACATAAAATTGTGCAAATGAAGTACTTGAGTTCGACCCGAAAGTTTCGCCGAATATCGTGCAATCAATTTGTGCTCATCATCTACAGCTATCCCATTGATCACCGGAAACTGTCCAGGCAAAACTTTATCATCCCAATCATTCACTACTTCCGAATGTCGCGATCTGGATATTGTGGGGGTCAAAGGTACAATATTAGCAAGATCAAGAGGGCGTTCTGGCCGATCCGGAAATACTGGGTGTGTGGAACGATTAGCCATTGGTACACATCGCAAAGATTTATGTATTGAATGGGCCAATTGTTTCGTGGGTGATTTCTGCAACTGAGATTAGTTCCTTATTTTCATTCGTACTTGTATTCAAAACTGAATTATAATTTCAAAAAAATAACACCATAAGAAAAATTGCAAGCACATACTCTTTGCCTTAGTAATCTTTGACTTTTCCAAATTGAATTTTAGAAATGTTAATAATGGTCAAAGATCATTTACCGCCTACAGATTCTATCAAAAACATATTGCGAAACTACTCGGATTTTAAAATAAGAGCCAAAATATGAAAAAGAATCACTTCTAAGCAATAATCGCTATTTAAGACCAAATAATATAATCAAACACTAAATTTTTTACATATTTGTACACGAGACTTAAAGAGCATTTGAGCAAACAAATGCAAACGTCATTCAAGAATTAAAAAACTCCCATCTTCTTACATTTTACATAGAATACAACTTCTAGCTAATGAGTCAAACGAAATTCTGTTTTCGAATAAATTGAATTCACTAATTACATAGCTGGAGTATTCCTTCATTTCATGTTCGTTAGAATGAGTCAAACTTGTCCGTCCTCGCCAGAAACAGCGCTCACACAACTGATAATTCGTACAACGCTGACATTTATACCGGAAACCACTGAATGATCGGACCTCAAAATAACACTATTTTGAGAAACATTGGAATAACAATCAAAACATTGGAATAACAATCAACTTAGATTGAATAAACTAAAATTTCTGCAAAAATTTTACGCATTAATTCATTTAAATCTGATGTTGGAAAAAACAAACTTCCATTTAACATGGAGTCCAAATTAAAGGAATTTTGCCAGAACATGAACTTCAAAACGGGGAATAGAAGGAATACAAGATTGAAGAGATCAAAAAATACATAAAACTTAAAAATTTTTGTATTTAACTTTTTTTCCAAAGAAACATTGCATAATGTTAATTTCTATTCTTTTCCACGAAAAATTTTCTGTTAAGCAACGCATAAAACCTACGGAAGATTAAATCTTTTCGCAATCTATTAATGAGCACTAACTGAAATAACAATTACCAGTACCTATTGACATGGAAATAAAAAAGCAAGAAATTTGCACCTGACATGCATTACATACAACCGGATGGTAAACATGTTCAACACCTCCCATGCGATGCAGCAGCGGTAACCACATTAAACATGGTGGACAAGGATCCGCCAACATTACATCCAAAAACATATTTAAATTTACGGGCTGGTCCTGAATTTTAAGATATCTTAAAGTACTTCTTTTGATAACAAAAGACGTTAGAATAGTCAAAATATAAGTGGCAAAACTGTCTTATTATACAACATAACGAAAGTGTCAAGTAAGCGAATATGATGGCACTTGCTACTCAGCTGTTTCTACCTCACCATCAATTTATTGCACATTTTTAGTTTACTGAAAACTTCGGAAGATATTTCCGCAATTTCAATTGCTACTCTTTATAAAGTAGTATCCTAATACGCTGAAGGAGAACAGTTTACACAAACAGAAATCTCAATCATATTTTGCCTTTAAAGATCTTTCTACTTTTGGAAATTCAATCAACTTAATCATGTATAGAGTTCATTAAACAAAATCAATAAACCTTCTGAAAACATTGCTCTACAGCTGTTTCAGTATAGCCAAATGTTGGGCCTTCAAAAACAGCTGTAGCAAGGGCAAGGACTTGTTGCAAGTAATCACTAAATCTATCCCATTCCATTATGCCATTACTGTCAGAGACTTGTGAAAATACATCTGAAGGAAAAAATTGATTTTGATGTGATGACAGAAAAAGAGAATCAATACGCATCTGCATTCATATTAGTGTTTTAATATTGAAAAAAAGAAGAAAAAAAAGCATCTAAGTCTTAGACTAAAATGCAAAAATAAAGCGTAGCCAAAAATGAGAAACTACGTTCCCTAAAATATTGAAAATGATCACTAAAGCCACTTCATTTTATATGTGATTATTATTTGAATCTTTTTCTAATAAATTACTAAACATAATGTTCGTGACTCAAGCAATCTTACAAAGTTTTAGACTTTTCAGACACTAAAATAGTAATTTTCTTACACCGTAACTTATCCATCAGTTTACCAGCACATATCGTAGCAAGAGCTATTTTGATCGAAAAGACTGTCAAACGGCCAGTTTGCTGCCTGGAATCTAATGTACAAAACCAAAAAGTGGAAAGAGAGCTTTTAGAATTGCCTTAAACTAGAAATTTGCATTTTTCTTTTTTGAACTTGAAATTATTTTAAATGATATTAAATGGCTCTAAAAATTTGAACTCTTTCCATAGACACAGGAATGTAATACAATTTCTGACTGAATTCATATCATTAAATTTCCATCAATTTCATATCATTAAATTTTATTATAAAATTTTTACATAATGATAAATATAACCTGTCATACGCACCGACGAGAAAGCTCAATAGAAGTGAGATAGATTTATCAGTATCGATATGCTGTGCGCTGGGCAAACGTTTGTTCAAATTATGGAAAATCGTTGCTAGTAACAGCTCCAGACGAGAAATTTTCACCTGCAAATCTATAAATCTGTTGGGCTATAAGAGCAACTTGAATTTGAAGGAAACTTCGACCCTAAAACTTTTTTATTTCAAGAGGTGTAGTAAAGAATCCGTAAGTTTTATTCTAAATCACTAAAAAATCAAAATAGATTTTGTAAAATTCGAATTTTAAATAAATATATACACCTGAAGTTATATAGTAATATAATCATTTAAAGCTAAGTCTAATTATTATAATTATACTCGAAACATTACGCACATAAGAACCGAGCTAAAACTCAACAGCTTCAAACCTATGCATTTCATGATAACAGCAAAGAGCTAAAAAGTCATATTTTAATTTGAAAATTTAAAATAGTAACCTGTGACGTTATTGGAAGGGCGTTTAAACCATTTTCACGAAATGATTCAATCATGTTCCATATATCTACTAGATGTACTGCAATATACTCTGTATAATACAATGAGAATGTAAAAGGAATGATAAGAAACCTGTCATGAAAAGTAACGAATCTGATGAATGAGTGAGCTGGAGAACTCTAAGTTACAAAAAGAAATAAACTGCTCAAAAAGTACTAGAGGTATTGAATTCTTGATTCTGAGCTTTGATTCCTAAATATTTATGAACTAATTTATTTTCCATAGATATCCATTACATTATTTAAATAACGCGAAAAAATTATAGCACAAGAAACCTTTCAATTTCTTTCATTACTAATTTTTATCAATAATATGCATCCTTTCTTATAACTGTTACTTATTAAAAAATTACTTTTTATTGCAATTTATCAATGAAAATCAGGGATTGTTCAAATGCTTTCAATAATGAGTTTGTGAGGAAAAATATGATGAAAGTATTCCACTAGTTTTTTGACAACTGTAACTATGCATTCCTGACTTTATTCCATGATTGCTGAACCAAAAAAATTTGCTTCGACAAAAACCACTGTAAACATTACCATAACTTCATTTAAACAAACTAATCATAGCTTTTTTTATTCAATAGGGAATACATATAAGTAATAAGATCATCATGCTGAACCTAAACACATACCACTAGTCTTCTTCTGAATGAAGCGTAATTTGCAAGCACATCTATATGTGGCAAATCGGATCGAATCAAAATCTTGTAGTCCTAAAATAGACAATAGTAAAATTTTAAACAATACATCAACTTTTAACGTAGTTAATAAAACGAATGACTCTTTTATTAACTCGCTTGCTGTGAAAAACTGTTATTATTTATTGAGATTCATTTATAAATCAATAGTTCACAATATTTGTCGACCAATTTTATAAAGTTTACTATCACATATAATGCAAATAACCTGATTTCGTATATCTAAATATTGATAACACAACTCTTTAAATTACAGAACTAAAAATAGTCAAATTTGAACTATTTTACAATAATGTCTTATCAAAACTCCCCCTTTATTTGTTTATTTCACTAGCGAATATTCAAATTATCTTTGTTACGTTACTGATGACACAATACTTGAATTATTTTGATAACATAAAGCTGTTAATAATGTTGAATTCTTCTTTTTGTAATGCATCTGCCAAACATGGACATGATTAAAACTAACGCATCTCATCAATTAACGCTTGTAATTCGACTGCAGTGGCATCATTTGTTGTTGAAGGATCCATCACATTCGTCATATGATCATTAATATTATTATTACTGTCGTTTACAAATATTTATCATATATGCCATTACTGCTTTGGCAGTTACGGAATACCTTTAGATAAAGCCTAATTTCTATCACTTTCTTTGTGTAATTTACTTCAAATTTTCTCTGAATCCATTTCTGAAATGAATATTTAACTGAGTTCTTTCTTTAGATACGCGCAAAGTGATGAAAGAGTACCATTAAACATTCAAGAAAATCGATAAACACTTGAAGACACGTTCACAACGATAAGAGCACCGACACTAAGACACAGAAAGCTAGCCAGCCTATCATATATGTATTCATCTTACATTTTTGCCAAATACAAATTTTAGTGATATGCAGTAAACAACCAATCCTTGTTCCCCTGAAAAAGTGAAACTACTATAGAAGAGTGAAATTCCTTGGCCGCATAAGTTGAAAACTGATACAGGGGATACTGAATCTTGAATAAATAATAGAAATCTTGGCCGATGAATCACTATGTAGTAGTACAATTCAAGACTACTCGAAGTCCTCAAATCTTAATCCTTCAATATCTAACCGCTCACGAAAAGACAATTGGTTTCAGCAGTTCGAAAGGACTTGGAAAAGTTTCCACTTCCAGCAAGTACAATTCGAAGTAACTGATAGAACCCCACCTCCAACAATGCTAAGAATGACATCATCGTGGAAAAGTGAAGAATATAACGGACAGACAAAAACAACATAGGTCCGTACTCACTCCGCGACAACCATTAAAGAAGATGTGATGCTATGAGTGACTATGTTGATGAAATAGAGGAATTGATAAGCTCGGTTGGAGCAGGAGTGACTCGCGTATAATTTGGTAGCCAAGTGAGGAGACTTGCTTCTGATTTGATAAACCGATGGGATTTCTGAATAACTTAACATTTTAATTTCTGCAGACATGCCGAAGTATGTCAGTGTCTTGGTATTGTGATCATTGTACTCAAAACTAGGATATTGAAGAGGTATTTACAGCATTCAAACTGACAAGTCTTGTGCATTTTAGTATAAGTAGTGTGGAGTGTGACATGTACTATCTTCCTATCTTCCTTGTACTTCCGTTGGATCGTGTTTGGCACTCTCACTGTACTCGCCAGACCCTCCTCTGATTACGGTATACTGTCGGGTTTCTTTTCAACAACCTCAACTGCTTCCAGTTGTTTTTAATTATGATTCCAGGCTTGGTTTTTTTCTGTTTATCCTCCATTTCTTGTTTTGTAATTCAATTTAACTAGCTCGGAGCTCAACTGCTGGGCAAATTGGTTGAGCAATTCCTTGTTGTATTTTCTTTTCCATTATTCTTCAGTAAGACTGCCCATCTGCCTATCAGATATATATATATATATATATGATATCGTTTGTAGCTTGGGGTCTTCTGGCTCCAGCTTGGGCACACGATGTAATATTTAATTAGACTTATAGCGTCCTCATTCATCGCCTTGACAGTGTTCTTACAACTTAGTGCAGTTCTGGGAAACCGCTCAATACTCACTAAAATCTCTGCTCGGACTTTATTGTAGCTTTCACGGGTCTTGTCTTCCACTGTTCCAAGGTATTTGTACCCTTGAGCTCTTACCAATAGCGCCGCCTTATCAGTGCATACCTCGGTGTTAGTGGCTGACTTTGCTGGATTTACTTCTAGTCCTACTACATCAAGAAACATTTCAACTTCGTCCGCTTTAAATTTCATGATATTCTCATTAGTCGCGAAGATCTTGAGAACAACATGATTCAGTATGTGATTTCTTTGATCAATTGCAACTACCACTGTTGAACCCTTGGGTATCCGTTGAACCCATGGACGAATAGCAGCGAAGACTATCACCTAGAAGAATTCCTTGTTGTATTTTCTTTTCCATTATACTTTTTCCATTATTCTTCAGTAAGACTGCTCATCTAGATGTGATACTTCTTAGAAACCTCTTGATCCATGATGGCATGTTAAACCTTTCAATCCACTTAATCAGGTATCCGTGATTAATTGAATCGAGCTTTTTGATGTCATAGCACTTCTCTGCAAACCAACACTGACTGTTTTTTCGCACCTTGAACTTCTGTT